CATAGGGTAGCTTACATAATTAAAAACATTATTAAAAGCTGAAAACAGTAAATTATTCAAATATTTTAAAAGAATTAAAGAAACACATTAAAAGCATTAGGTAAAAGCATTTAAAAGCAACAGAAATGCAAATCATCACATTTTAAAATCTCTCAGAAAACCAGTCACTAAGGAAAAGTCTGCTTGATGAAAGAAATATTTGCCTGCTTGTGGAAGGACAGCAAAGATGGGGCCAGCCTGGCCTCTTGTAGGAGGGAGTTTCAGAGTCCAGAAGCAGTGAAAGAGAAGGCTCTCTAACGTGTCCCCATCAAACACATCTGAGAGGGTGTTGGGACTGAAAGAAAGGCCTTCTTTCTTACATTATTTTACAATGTAAAATAAACTATCACCATATTTACGTTTTCCCTATACAGCTGTAGTCTGTCCTAAGGGGTGGGGCAGATATTGTTTTCCATAATGGGAATGTTTCTGAGTGAAACAGCTTCAAGATCACCAATGGGTCCAAACATTTGTTGCCATCATTAAAATAAAACAAAACTTGCCCATGTCCATTTACAGCCAGTCACATTGTCAATCCATGTGTATTGTGAGATACATTATTTATAGTACAAAAATTGAGGATCTGATATCACAAGCTCTCGTGGCAGGAAGTAGTTTTAGGTATAAAGTAGTTTTGGCAGCAGTTGTCAGGTGTTTACAATTCTGTCAAAGCTCACACCCAGGATTTGTCGCAAAAGAGGCTTTGATTCTTCCCCCATTTTTTTTTGTCCAGGACTGCCCTGGTCAAAAAGCATTTGATTCAAATAGTGGGAGGGAAGACTCACTTTGTTTGGGGGCTACAAAGACAGTTTGCCATTGATAATGTTTAAACTGGTAATTTCTCACTGGAAAAATAAGTTTATATGGAAATCATATGGTTTGTCTGAATTTTGCTTTAGGAATGGAAAGCGAAGTAAACTGGCTCATTGTGACAGTGTTTGGGGTCTAATCTTGGTGCTGGAGAGGGGGTGATTTGTTCCTAAGAAGAAAGAAGGTTTGAGTGATAGGAAAACTCTACTAGAGCAGCTCCAGACTTGTGTTGGCTCATCATGAAAAATGAGGCAGTTCTAAGGCATTAAGAAGTGGGGGGGGCAGATCATGGAGAAGCTGGATTATTGGGTGGTATTCTTTGTCTTTACAGCTACAGAACTGACTTCAGACCATCTCCAAGAACAATGATTCTGAGCCACTAGAACAAGTTTAACAATCTTAGTTATTTTCCACAGACCTTTGTCAAGACCACCCACATTATTATTGGAGTCAAGCTTGTAACACGAGAGCTACATGCTGCTGCTTGTAAGGTAGATTTGTGGTTGGTTGATCCTCCTTGCCCAAAGAGTGGTTCCTTGTCATCCTAGAGTTGAGTCATGAGTGGGGTTCTGGAAGATAGTGCTGTAAGCCCAGGACTCTTCAACATCTTTCTTAATGACTTGGATGAGGGTGTGGTGGGGATTCTCCTCTAATCTGCAGATGACATCAAGCTGAGAGGCATAGCTAATGCTTCAGAAGACAGAATTAGGATTCCCTTAACAGATTGAAAAACTGGGACAGAACCAACAGAGTAAATTCAGTAGAGAAAGATGCGAAGTAGGAACACACAAATATAAGATGGGTGACAATTTATTTGGCAGAAGTAAATGTGAAAAGGAGTTAGGCAACCAAATGCAGTATTGGGCTATGATCAGGGGAAGTAATACCACCACTGTATTCTGCGTTGAACTTGGAATACTGTGTCGTGTTCTGGACACCACAGTTTAAGGAAGGATATCAACAAGCTGGAAGATGGACAGAGATGGGTGATAAGCAACGTTCCCTCTTTTTCTCTTGCAGTTTCTCCCCTTCATGGGTACACGGGATTCTGTCACAACCGGAATCAAGGGGGAGCCGAGGATGATGGGCTCTCCTTTAAACAGAGATTAGCTGGTCATGTGTCAGAGGTGCTTTAGCTGAGATTTCTTACTTCAACAGTTGGACTTAATGACCCTTGGGCTCCTTTCTTGCTCTACAATTCTTTTACTCTATCTATGATATACTGGAACTGAGTTTAAATAGACAAAGGTGTAATTTTTCCTTGTAAGCCTGCAGAAGCAAGTCATTTAGTGGCTGTAAATGACATCAAGTGAAATTTGCTGTGCTGGTTAGGAGCTGAGTTATGTTACATTAGAATACTTATTTTTATTTTATTTATTTATTTATTGTATTTATAATAATATAACTTGATCACCACTTCTGAAAAATCTGATTTCATGGAAATTTAGGATCACCGTGTCTGTGTTTGCCTGTCTGCTGTCAAGTCTACATCACAGTCTATTTCTGCTCCTATAGATATTGGGATATTTCTGCAAGGATTTCATAATGGCATTCTTTTATCTGCTGCTCACCACTCTTCTGCTCTTGCCACGCAAGTCAGTGCATCAAAATTCTTTCCTTTCTGTCTTTCCCTAGAGAGAACTTGCTGTTATTGCCCTTTGGGAAAGGAGTAATTAGTTCTCAGAATGAATGTTCTGTAACTTACACTCTCTCATATCTCTGTGGAGCACTTCTTCTGGTTTGAAATTATTAAAACTTGAATAGGTATGACACCCCAAAGGATCTCTAAATCTCCACACCATCAGTGAAACGTACGCACAAATTGTGGTGATTTTCAGTGCAGCAAATATTAAAAACTCGTATGTGATCTATTTTTTTAAATGTTTTTTTGATTTTCTCTGGGATGCAGGAGACTATTGCATGTACAAACATAATTAAACATTGCTGCTGATTGGTCATTTAAAGTAGCTTATAATACAGGCAAAGCATGTAGATTGGAACTGGTTCTAGAAACTGATATCTGGGTAAAATCTCAAGTTCATTAAACCTTCTATTCAGCAGCCCTTTTCAGGCCTGGTTACTTAAAGGAACTGCAGGTGGGAAAAAGATTAAAATTTGTAAGGAGGCTGTATACATTAAGGGACATTTGCTGTTGTTACATGTCGAGTTGGAACCGACTTACAGTGACCCTAATGGAGTTTTAAAGTTAAATGAGATATTGCATGGTTTTACCAGTTCAACTCCCTCAGTAAGTTTCCATGACCCAGTGGGGATACAAACCCTGTCCTCCAGAGTCCTAGTCCTCCATTCTAATCTCTGTACCACAGTGGGAAACACAAGGGGCATTTAGGAAAATAGAATTGGGAAATGAAACTATTGTCAAGACTAAGGACCAGAACTTGGAAACAGGAATGGCAGTGCAGAAGCACTAATAGTAAATTGTCAAAGAATTGAAATTAATTGATATTAAACTATCAGGAGAATTTTATAACTTTAACTCTTTAAGCGATTCACTGGCCAGAATGTATTACTTATGGCTGCTGGTGTAGGTCCACTAGCATAAATCTCAGCAGTAAATTTCTGTTAAGAAGTCAAGGGCTGTATTTCCTGTCACATAGTAGTCATGTGACTTGGCATGCGATGGGAAATGCATATTTGGGGTTCTTAGGTAGTAGGAATTCAGCACTGAAATTTATTCTGATGCAGCTATGCTTCTGTAGTAGATCATTTGGATTATTAAATTAACAAACATGTTTTAAATGATTAAAAATGGCCAATATTCTGAAATAGCTGCAAAAAATGACAAAGTAGCAAGAAATGGTAGTTCTTACTCAGAAACGATGCCATTGACATTGAATGATGTGACTACCAAAGTTATGAAAATGAATAAATGTAAGGTAAAGTCAGAAACAAGAATGGGAAACAAGGAAATATTGAGCACACAGAAGAAGGCCTGGAGTTTGAGTCTGAGAACTTGGGTAATAAGATTCAAAAGAGTAAAGGTCCTATATTGTAGGGTTTAGAAAACTTCTAGGATGAGATAAGGTGAGGGGTTTCTGTTGAGAAAGTCATAGCAGAAGAGTTTCTAGAGCTTGGTTTCTGTGTCAAAGTTATTACTGCGAAACAAAACAAAACAAAACAAAACCCTCCTCACCATGCTATTTTAGGAGGATTCCCAGGCTTCACTCCAAGTATGATATCTAGGCGTCAAACATGCAGAGGCCAGAATACTTTTGGTTGGATATGGCAGCATATAGTACATGCAGTGGCAAAAATCACAGTGCTGGTTTGTTGCTCGTTAATTTGTTGCCACTTATTTCCTTTGTCACATACCAACTCATATAATTGGCACACAGTGAGGGGTACAAGCAGTGACTGGTTAACTAGCTGCGATTTGCTGTTGCAGATTATGTCACTGCATAAATAACCAGTGTGATTCTGGCCAAAACAAAAAACAAAAAAAACCCCACAGCTTCTGAGAACTGGTAAAGAACATGGAGCCTGAAAACCAATTTTCCTCACTGTTGACAGTGCTCCAATCAAGTAATCAGGCTGTTGTTTTCCTAGAGCCTAGCTGCTGTAAAATAAGTGATAGTTTTTATTCTCTCACACTCACATACATGGGTTTTGTCTCTGTGCAAAGACCTGTTCAGAACTTCCTAGATCTGAGTAGCATTTTGTGGGAATCCCAGTACTGTACTGCTTAATATGCAGGTCTAGGAATGCCATGATGGTTTTCTATGTGGAAGAGCATTCAAAATGTGGTCTCCTTACTTGTGTTTGAAGTAATTCAGTCCACAATGGTTTACAACGTGATTTTGTTGAATATGTAACTATGCTTCATAACCACATGTTTATAATTTTGTCTCTGTTGAGGCAATAACAGAACTAAAACTTGATCCACATTGTCATTTGTTTGTTTTTGGGTCACTGTTTGTACCGTAAGTACTAGCTGACACAGATGTCTGCTGATCTGAAATATGAGGCAAAACCCAGGACTGGGGGCCACAGTTCTGTTTGCCAGATGTGACCCTGGATGGCTGACTTTCCACATGTGTCCTTGAACTATACTTGACTAGTTGCTTTGTTAATACTGTAGTTGTTTGGGACATGTATCTTCCTTTGCTGATTCCTTGGATTTTCCCTTCTAGGTCCGGATTGCACTACAGTTGGAAGATGGTTCTAGGCTTCAAGATACCTTTTGCTCTACCAAGACCTTGTGGGACATTCTTCATCATTTTTCACAGACCAGGCAAGTGCAAAGAGAATGCAAGATATATATTTCAAAAAGCCAAAGATGTAAAACACAAAATTAACATGACGCTGACTGAGTACCTCAATTAGAATTGCTGCTATCGGTTGCATCAGCAAAATAATTCTGTGCAACCACTTCAGTAAATTCCAACCCATGATTCTAATTCGAGAGTAGTGTGCTCCATAATATAATATGCTCCAAATAGATCCATAGTCATAGGATTAGATTATACTGCAGTATGTGTTCTTGGAGCAATGATTCATTTTGGATCAAACTATTAGTCCCCTTTTAAAAATGCTTGATTGCATCATTGCTTAAAATTAGTGTCTTAACAGGGCAAACACGTGGTAAATGTTGATTAAGGTGCTCATCTCCAGCCTGATGTTAGATAGAGTGGTTCTTCTCCATTGTACCAGTAAAGGAAGCATTTATATTCCTCCCTGTCTCTGATAGTCGGTGGCTTTAAAATGAAATACGCACTATTATATTTGGTCAGTATTGCACATTACTCACAGGTACAGGCAACTGTACCTTGATGGGTATTTGTGTGTGTTGAAAGTCAGTGTGGGGTGGTTGAATGAATTGCAGAGAAGATGGTAGAAAAAGTGTTTTCCTCACCTGCTCTTTTCTTCATCCAGATTCCATGTTTCTCCAGCTTGGTTTAAAAATTGTCTTTGCCTGAACATGTACTTCACTCTTTGGAAGAGTTTTGGAGTGGGGAGACAGTGTGAGAGGAAAAAAAAAATTATGATTCCCTTTCCTGTTGCTATTTCTCTGCCATCAGTTGCACCTGACTGAAACAGCTTCTCTTTCTTCTCTGTTTTTCACACATATAGATTAATGTACACACTTGTGCACATACATGTGTTAAATGTGTGTTTTGGGCTTTAGATCACAAAGGTCCCTTTCCCCAATCAAGTTAATGCTCATTTATCTCCTGTTTGCTTGTCTGCAAAATATCTCCTTCAGTGTTACACAACTGTGACTGGGAATATTTATATAGTCCCTCTCCAGATACAGAATCTTTGACATATAGTAATGTGCTTTTTCCAGCAGCGAGTGATTTATTGTATGGTTTTGTGTGGTATAACAAGTAGGAGAAATGCAAATGTTCAGCACCACCCAAGGCAGTTTTATTTTTCATTGTTTGATGACTGCACGCTCCCCCTACGCTGTGTCCCTGTAGCCAAATTTCTGTTGTTGTTGCTGTTGTTTTTTGGAAAGAAGAGAAAGAAGGGTTCTATTACATACCATCTTCTAAGTGCAGATGGTATCAAAAGGAGACGTGCAGGAAAGCTCTACTGAGACTAGAATCTGGTTGGGCATGCTTTGACTGTGTGAAAAATTCCAAGCAGACTTACAGATCTTAATGTTGGTGGAAAGGTGTTTAAAGGAGAAGTGCTTTCTTGTTGCTGTCCTGTGCCTGGTTCTGTCCCAGAAGCAGCCTATGCTTCATGTTTAATGTTCATGGATTAGAAAGCGTCTGTGATGGTTTGCCTCCCTCTTGCTGTAGCCCACACTTAATGCTTCTTTCTGTCTGATGTGGATTCAAGAACAATAGCTACTCTTCAGAAACAAATGTCAGACTAATAATTTGTACTCCAAAGGCAATTTTGTTACTTAAGTCTGTTTCTTTTGTGGTTTGAAAGGCTGGGCTTCTTGAATCATGGTCAATTGCTGCAAATTCTGTGGCAGAAATGTTTAAATCCCATCTTTCCGACACAGTCCTACACACTTGTTGGAGAGTTGCCTAACACTTGGAAAGGGGCTGCCAGCCTAGTATGCTTTCTGTTGTCCTTGTTCTTGAAATTTTTGTTCTAGATTCTCTTTGGAACCAAATGAGACTTCTTGGCTCCTGTTTGAAGGTCTTTTCTCATCAGCCACGCCACGCCACGCACAGTGTTGTAAGATTTTGTAACTAGCAGTTAATTCTTTCAGGCTCAGAAATCATTCCAATAATCATCTAAACTGGAGTCATTGACCTACTGCCATACTAGCACTTCCAAGGCTCAGATGATACAACTACCAGGAAAGGGGTGGGTGGGCCAGCTTGAATCCTTGTATGAATAACAACAACCAGATGAGTGTCATTTGTCTGCCAACCAGCAGATTTGCGATTCTTCCCCCTTCCCAACATACCTCAGACATTGTGTGACTTCCATAGAGAGTGCAAATTTCATTTTTTAATGGGAGATATACGGTACTTAATGGCTCCCTGTCTGCTTATTAGCCCAAACTTAGTAGTAAAATATGCATAATAATATAACACAGTGTTAAGATAAGTATTGTCTTTTTGTGTCACATTATCAGTCTTTGGCAGTTTAGCCTGTATCATGTTTAAACTGACTTGATCTTTATAAACCCAAGGCAAACTTTTGATTTGGTCTTTGCAATGAGTGTGAGAGAGAATAGTGGGTGGATTCAAGTCACCTTTTGTCATGACTGGACTACTTTCTGGAGGAGTTTGGTCTGACAGCATCTGTCTTAGAGGATGGGGGGAGCTTTTCACATAGTCTGCTTGTGAAATCCTATGAAATTCAAAAGATTCCTGAATACTCTGAGGGAGCTTTTTAGTAGCTAGATCCTTTTGAGGTATGTCACCTGCTGCTTTGGTGTACAGCATGGTATGAAGATAGCAGAATGCCCATGAGAGTACAGTTTTCACCTGGTGTAACCTGAAAAGGCAGATAGCAGATTTTCTGTAATATAGCCATCCATATGTCCTGTTGACTCTTGCCCATCTTAGTTTGATAGGAGGATCAGGAGTGGGAAAGATTAGCCAAGGAGGTATAGTCACTGCCTCTTTATGCAAGGGAATGATGCTGGTTGCCTTTAAAAGGTTGATTGTATAACTACTCCTGAAAAGGCATTGTTGGACCTAGGCTTTTTAAAGATCTATTGCCTGTTTACAAATTCATTCAGGGGAAAGATGCTTTAGAGGGAAGTGGTGCTGCTGCTGCAGCGCTTCTTGGTACACATGATTTAGAGTCATTTCAATCTAAATTCAGGCCTGGTTTTCTAACGAATATTCCTTGGTCACCCTCATGGGTTATTTTCATCAGGGGAGAAGTAGGGTAGTCTGGCCTGTTGCATCTGCTTCATCTCTCAGCTGTTTTGGATCTTATTGATCATCCTGTCCACCTGAAGCAGCTGCACAAAGCTGAAGAAGAATTCACTATTTTTCAGTGGTTTGATTCTTGCCTGTGGGGTTAGTACCAAAGAGCATCATTCAGGAATTATGCCTCTTTTCCTTGGCAGTTGCTCTGTTGGCTGCTGCAAGACAGTCTGCCCAGTGTTTTTTTAACATGTATATGAAGCCACCAGGAATGACCATTAGGGGATTTGGGTTGTGGCGTTGTCAGTATGAAGACAATACTTGGCTCTGTTCTCTAGCCCTTATACATTTCTTTGAGTTAAGAGTAGCTGTGCATGCTCTGAACAGCGGTGAATTTGGCGGTGGGCTGAACGAGCTATGGGGTTGATGAAAGTATGGTACTGAAGTTGAGTCCTTGGAAGGATAAAAGGTTTTGTGAGTAAGCGATTTCTGGATCTAGGATTTGGTTAATGTGCCTGTTGTGAGTCTGGTTGTATTCACATTATAGGAACAGGTATCATTTGAGGAGATTTTCCATTTATTTTTGTCTCTTGGATCTGAAGCTGTAACTGCTCTTGGGTGCAGCCTCACCATGTGTTAGGAACCTTAAGAGCAAACCATTGTAACTTGCTTTATATAAGGATACCCTTGTGCCTGGTTTGAAAGCTGCAGCTAGTGCAGAATGTATCCACTAGGCTACTTAATGAGGTCTCCTACCATGCACAGATAGCTCCTGTAGTGCAGTGGTTCTTAACGTGGGCAATAATGCCCCCAGGGGGCGATTTCATTTTTCAGGGGGGCGGTAGAATGAAAAGGGGCGGGGTGGGGGCGAAAGAACAGAAGGGGGGCGGTAGGGGGGCGCTGGAGCGAGCCAAACCTATGAAGGCGACTGCAGCCGCAGTGCTGGCAATAGATCCGGTGCTGCTGCTGCTGCCAGATGATCCAGCTCTTTCTACCTGCCATGTCTCACCTTTCTCCTTTAGGGGAGCACTGAGTGTGGATCGGGTGGAAGGAAAGGGTCTCTTGGGTCCTCATCCTCGCCCCGTGAAGCGCTGCCTCGCACCCGGGTGGGGAGGGAGACTAGGTAGGTAGGTAGGTGGGTGGGTGGGTGGGTAGGTAAGATATCATCACCTCGGGGAGGGGGGCGATGATAACTTCCTCAATGGCTCAAGGGGGCGTTTCTTTCAAAAAGGTTAAGAACCACTGCTGTAGTGAATAATCTACTAACTGCCACTTAGCCACTGACCTAGGTCATGGCATTATTTTTTATTTATAAGGCTCTAACCAGCTCAACCCTTGGAGACAACATTGCTTCATATAAACTAATTTTTATGCTGCAAGGCCCTGCTTGCTGTAACATGACTTAGTGGGGTTTGTTTGCCTGCAGTGTGGATGAGGACCTTCTCCAAGATAGGCTTGGTAGATTGTTGACATGATGAAAATGCTACTTTATTCCTGTCTTTTTGTTCTTTTTTTTTTTGCTTTGTTGGCCACCTCCTCCAATACGCATTTTGTATGTTGATAGAGGTATGTTTTTTTTCAGAGATTGAAAGAGGATTTAGGAGATATGCCCCCCATGACTCACATTTAAACAGCCACAGTACTTAAATAGTACTAGTATGGCCCTTTCACTGCAGCTTGTCCTGAAATCTGTACTCTTAACCTGGCACAGTGGCATGTCATAAGCTAGATGTCTATTGGTATCAAAATTCCAATTGTACATTCTACTCAAAATCTGAAATTGTTTTGCAATATTCTATAATGCAAAAGTTGCATTTTTCATTGCACTCCCTCCCATTTTGGGGGGGTGTTAACTAAGAACCCTGATTCTGTCTGTTTGTCCATCTGTATGATTTGATTTGATTCGTATATCACCCCATTAGTGCACGGCACTAATCTGCGT